CGTCGGAAATGTAACGTCCCTTACCATAATCACGAGCTTCATCTTTCTAAATAAATGTAAAGACAGAGCCCGAAAGGGGAACAGAGTCGCGTGACAGACACAGTGATGAAGATGTGTGTTTGTGATGTAACCCTCTCTCTCTCTCTCTCACACACACACACACACACGATGCGCAAAACTCTGCATTTGAACAGTCAATAGCAATTACTCAAACTAATAACAAAACAGTAGCTGATTCAGAAGCGCCAGATTGTCATAGCAAAGTCAGAATGACCTCCTCTCCTAGCTTCACGAAACGCTCGTCCATAAAATGCATTGCTGTTCTGTTGTAAGTCATCTTAAAGATTCCTAAATGCATCTACTTCTGGAAGGCCAAATAAAGTGCTTTTGCTTTCGTCTAGAAACACACAGCATCTCCCTGACATGCTGCTTCAACACTAACTGCGGTTACTGAAACCACGCCTTCTTTCTTTGCTGAACATTTGGGCGCATTATGCTAATATTTCCACATAGTGAGGTAGATATGTGGGGGCGTGTTAGAACGAGCCGTTTTAGGGGGGCGTGGCTGAGTCTTAACTTTGATAAAGAATATCTCTTTGGTTTTGAGACTTTAGTCTTTGCAACTTCAGGGATCTTATCTATGCACAATCAGCTTGTAACACTCCAAAGAGAAAGAAGAACTTAATCGCATCATATGACCCCTGTTAAAGCTGGAATACACTACACAACTTTAGCCCTGATTTTCAGTCTGGAGAAGGTTGTTGCTGAGAGTCAGTCTGCAGATTTCATAGAAAATCCTGATTTTAGAACACGTTATCATTTGTCCCGTGTTTCTGTGCGAGTTTGTTGTGATCAGAGCATCTGCTAGTGTGCGATGCATGCCTTTTCCTCTGTGACTGTTTACAAAGTCAAGTCCCCGTTATTTGTATAGTGCTTCTTACAATGCAGATAGTGTCAAAGCAGCTTTACAGTATTAAACAGGGACGTAGTGTGCCGTTCTCCTCTGGCCAGACGAGACCAGCAGCTTAATTCTAGGCTGCAGCAGAGTCCGATTGTGCAGAGGACTCGTCTGGTTCCTGTGGTCTTGTCCCGGTGGCTAGGAGACGAGTCACTAAGTGTATGCATAGTGTTGGGGGGTATTCCAGAAAGCAGGTTATGTGACATACCCAGGTATGTTTAAGGGTAATTAAGCGGCTAAACTAAAGCAATAAGACCCAAGAAGCTGTGGTTTACAGTGAACTTATAACAGCTAAGGGGCGTTGTTCGACACGAAACCGCACAAAAATCATACAGGAAATTCAAAATAACGTACTTCCTGATGGGATGTGGTACCAAGATACTTTTTTGTAGGTACAGGTGTGTTGCACCCTTCACACATGTACGTAAAATGTAGCTCGAGGTGCACTCCGTTGATATTTTACAGGTGGCGCTATCGAGCCATTTTGCCACATCCGCTTCTGAAACCCATATAAGATGTACAATTTTCACCAGTTCTGTGTGTGAATGTGCAGAGTTTCATGAGTCTCGGAGCATGTTTAGGCCCTCAAAAATGCGATTCACTTTGAAGAAGAAGAAACTAATGATAATGTTAAGGTAATGTTTATTATTTATTTCATTTTATATTATCATCATGATCGCCATTTTCTATAATTATAATAATTTCTATAATAAAAAGGCATGCATGATATGTAAGTCGCATCAAACAAACAATATAGTTGTTATTCTCAGTGATTAAATGATTAAACGAAAAAAATTGCACAACCAGCAGTTAGGTGATACTCGTCGCTTGTATGCCAGTCTTTAGTAGAAAAATCTTATGTTTACCTGCCTGTCATGTGACCATTAACTGTCATCAGAGAAGCGTTTCTATTAATGAAATGTTCTCAGTCTTCAAAAGTCCATATTTCAGCTCAAAGCGGTTCAGCTGACAAAAACAGATTGGGAACCCTGCATTACATGACGCCTACAAGTAAAACACATGAGACAAGTCAAACCTTAAATGACACTGAATCATTATCTCACAGGTGAGCAGAGGATTTTAATATGACAGAAGCACATGTAAATATTCACTCATGGTCAAAAGAGTCTAAGAATGTAAATGAATGTGAAAATGGCAACTTCTCATTCATAGCAAGAAAGCTGGAATAATTCCTTCAGATTCTCAAACTCTGACCAGCTTCAGCGGGAAGTTTTCCGTTATCAGATGATCGTCTTGAAGAACGATCACTATATTCACCTCAAATTCTAGAGAGGAAGAAAGAAAGTTGTTCAAAAGCAATCTGATCGGTTGT